TTACGTTACGTTACGTTACGTTACGTACGTACGTACGTACGTACGTTACGTTACGTACGTACGTACGTACGTACGTACGTACGTACTACGTACTACGTCTCTCTCTCTCTCTCTCTCTCTCTCTCTCTCTCTCTCTCTCTCTCTCTCTCTCTCTCTCTCTCTCTCTCTCTCTCCTCTGCACTAGTAATATTCCTCTACTCTCTCTCCTCTCTCTCTCTCTCTCTCTCTCTAAAATCTCAGGCTCTCTCTCTCTATAGAAGCTCATCTCTCTCTTGCCCCCATCCTCACACTCTAGAAGCTCAGGTTCTTATATATTGCCTCTACCTCTCTCTCCCACCCCCTCTCTTTCTCTCTCTAAAACCTCGGGCTCTCTCTCACCCTCGACACTCTAGTTCTTAAATATTGCCTCTCTCTCTCCCACCCCCTCTCTTTCTCTCTCTAAAATCTCGGGCTCTCTCTCCCCATCCTCACACTCTAGTTCTTAAATATTTCCTCTACCTCTCTCTCCCACCCCCTCTCTTTCTCTCTCTAAAATCTCGGGCTCTCCCTCTTATTTTTCCAGTCAATAATTGATTTTCATTTTGTATTTTTCCTTTTATTATTCTCTTTCTTGTTTCTCTCATTATTTTCTCTCTTGGTTGAATGTCAGATGTATCGAACTGTAAAGACTACTGACAGGGCCGCAGGATCCTCAGGTCACCCTTTTTCATATCTCTTTTTTTTTTTTTTCCTGTCTTTTATCCAAAAAAATTTAAAACCTAGCTTTCTCTAATTTTTGGGTTCTTTCGAAAAATGTCGATTATTTTTTTCTTTTTTTTTTTACAGGTGAAATAGATATTTTTGGGAATGGAACACCAGGAGAAATATCAAACGAAATCTTGCTTGAAAATATGACTCAACGGCCACCGTTACAACATGGTTTAGACTACTGTAATATGTGGAGCAATTCTTCCAGGTAACCCATTTCCCGAGAGAAACTACTTTTTCCATTTTTCTATATTTTTTTTTGTGTGGCAAGTTTTAGATAAATGAATTGACTCGGTTGAAAATTATTGGCCACCAATAACCGGCAAATTGTGTTCGTCAAGTATTGACTACCGATAATTTTCAGCTGCATCATGAATGAAGTTATTTCTAAGTCGAATCTTTCTTGTATGGAAATTCTACTTGATATTTTTGTTCACTTTATCTTGATTATAACATTTCTAGCATTTTAGCTTTATCGTCTTCGTACACATTTTTCAATTAGATAGGAATTTTAATTAAGTATGATCAATGGTTTCTCCATTCCTCTCTCTCTCTCTCTCATCAACCAGCTTTCCAGTGCACACGAATACGGAGAGAGAGAGAGAGAGAGAAAGTGAGATGCATGCCAATGCATATGGGTAGATGCATATTGACGTTGTCTTGTCTCTTTATCAATACTATCGTACATAAAATTTGAAGAGAGAGAGAGGGAAGGATTGTTGATTTCCCACTACAAAAATCAGCAGAAAAGCTAGTCATGATGACTGCATGCAAACATATCCATGCATAAAAGTTGGGAACACTTGAAAGATTATTGCTGCTTTGTTTTGGCAACTTTATGCCATTTCCCACTGGTTTATTCAGCAACACAATCATCACCATGAAAATGATTATTGCTGCTTTTTTTAGAACATAATGCTCCCAGCTTTAACTAAAACAAATGTAGGCTAAATATCTCAGCTCTCAACTAGTCTGCAATTATTGGGATGCACACTTTCAGCAATATGTCTACCTAGTTGTTATAACTTCATCATAACCAGTTTGTTTAAACTCAGTTACTCTCTCTCTCCCTCAAACACACGCATGAAAATACATACATCCAGCAAGTACTTATGCCAGGTTGTCTAGAAATGGGTAGTTCACTACAGTGGATTATCCAGGTCTACTCTCGGGAGTCGGGAAATTATCGGGTCCGTTATCGGGACTCGAGCAATTTCCTATATTTTGAGATTTTTTTTTTTTTTTTTTCATAATTTTTGTTTCCTTCACAATCTTTTATAACTGACTCACCCCGGCCAAGGTCTAAGTTATTGTCCAAGGTTTTCACACTCTACTAATCCAGCAATGTCTCCGTCATCACCTAAGAATATGAACTTGGTTGGATCTCTTCTTACTTACTCTCTTGAAGAAGCTAAAAAGGCAGGGTACAATTATGCGAGATAGATGGGGCCCGAAGGTAGAAAAATGGACAAAAGCAAGGAACTGCAACTTCCTTGCGGTTTCTTCTTATGGCTAATGGCTATCACATGGGGCTTCCTTTATATCAATCAAGCATTTTACTAAAAAGCTAAATCTGGTTAACAGTAAAAGTTTATTTTCTTTTTGCAGCATACCTTTAATAGAACTTTTGCTTAAATTTTTATTCCATACACACAAAACCCCCTATTACTTCGATCTTTTTCCTCTTTTCCTTTCTTTTTATCTTTGCTTTGCTCGTAAAAAAAGAGATATAAAGTGGAATATCAAACCTTTACAAAAGGGATATTTTAATGCTTTGTAATGCTTTGTAATGCTTTTTTTCTTTCATTCATTTACTGTATTGTATTGGATGGTTTATTGCAGTAGAAGAAATTGGTTGCAGGCCAAATCAAGGGATTCCATGAGCATGAGTCCTTCCTCTGAGGTAGCCATTCATTAGCTCGTTCATTTGTGTGTCACAGAGAGAGAGAGAGAGAGAGAGAGAGAGTACAAAGCAATAGCAGAAAGGAGAGAGACAAGAGAGAGAGAAGAGAGAGAGAGAGAGAGCAAAAGCAATAGCAAAAAGGGTTGAGCTTAGGGTCTACTTAGCATTCCTTCAAGGAGTGGAAAACCCTTTTGTATATTGCCAAAGGCAGTTAGGGTTAGGACTCAAACAAGGAAGCTACTAGACCTCAAAGAGTAGGGTGCTACAACCTTTATGTAGAGTTATGACTTTTCCCTTTGTGCATGCATGTGATTGTGTGGGATATGCATGGGTCAATGAGTGTGTAGCCTCTCTCTCTCTCTCTCTCTCTCATGCGTGTGCAGTCTCTCTCTCTCTCTAACCTCTTTATAAATTTGTTCTAAACAACCTAGAGACATATTTATAAGCAAGGACATGTATAATTGTTCCCTAATGTGTAACCATGGGTTTGAACTCTCACAAACTCTACCAAACACAAACATGCATGTGTGTAGATAGATAGATAGATAGAGAGAGAGAGGGGGAGGCTTATGTGTTGATTTTCCACATTAAAAGCTTGCAAAATATTGCATTTTTCAGGTAAAAGGAGGGCTGGAGGATACGTCAGATGAATTATTTGAAATTAGCTCTTCAGACATGAATCAGAAGAAACCTAACCTTGAATTCACGTTGGGCCGGCCAGACTAATATTCATCTATCACACTCAAGGATTCATAGCTTCAAATATAGTTTGTGGTGCTTCATCAGAGGAAGAGTATTCTATCAATAAGCAAATAAAAAGAAAGAATGATAAAGGACTTTGCTACCCCTAAGAAAAAAGAAAAAGAAAATCTTAAATATCACCATCTATGTTGTGTACCCTAGTCTATGTGTCATGAAAATGCCATACTTCAATATGTAGCAATGAGAATGACCTAAACACAACTCTTGTTGTGTTTTTTTTCCCCCATGTCTTGTCAATGTTCTATTCTTCTTTTACTTTTCAATTTTTCTTTTTAATTTCTTTATGTTAAGCTGTGGTCTTTGGTACTCTGAACAGTTTGAGGGGTAGTTTTGTTACATGAAGTGAAAAGGGATATATTTACATTGGGCTAGACCGCTAGAGCGGGCATTAGAACATGTGGTTTCTTCTATCTTGGTAATACTATATTGAAAAGTAGCGCCCTATAGATATAAGGGATTGTATGCTATAAACTGTTTACCTTTACCTGCCGTACAAGGGGGCCATTATCACAATTAGCCTTAAAACTAGCATCGTTCAGCTGTCAAATTAATTGGGGGAGTGCTCACGAGGCCCAATAAAACTTGTATTAAATTTTGAGCCTAGTCAAGGACATATTTTTAAATAACTTGAAATCTAATCGTTAAAGATGATTGTGATTTTTTTGTACAAAAAATAAATAATTTTATTATATTTTTCTAAGTAAATATGGCTTAGCCCAAGCTAAAATATCTGGCATTAGAGGTGAAACTCAATTATCTATGCTTATTGGTCTAAAAACTGAAATTATTAACTACATACAAAGATGTGATAGCTGGAGTAGCACAAACTTAATTCCCAATTCAGGTAGAAGTTAGTAGATTGCGCGTGGTCTGCCCAACTAAACCACTACATTCTAAGTTCTCTATGAATATATTTATGTACAAGTTTGTAGACACCCTGATCCTGCTGCGGAAACTATAGGAAACCAAAGAACCCCGGAACAGCCACTATGAGCCCTAGAATGACAAAGAATCCCAAAGCCGGTACCTTAACACCAAGACCGCCCCACGAAAGTCCACCACAAAGACCCGGCCCTGAACCCATAACTCTGGGAAGACCGCTAAAAGGCTAGGAATAGCCTTAAGATAGGAGAATATATGGAACTAACCACCCAAAATTTTAGGAAAATTAGTCTCGATTAAATGAACCCATTAGCACCATTAGCAGCGCCAACGCTAGGGCTAGCCGCATGAAGTGTCGACAGAGAACTGGGGTACCGAACATCAATGATAGGGCAAGTAAGGTTAAGAGGGTGGTGGCTCAAGTCACTTGATGATGGTCCCACTAGACTGATACCGTCATCATTGTCTCCAATGCTGGCAATAGCAGCACTGGCATCGGTGTTAGCAATGTCGGCCCTGATTGGCTCAAATTGTTGCCAATCGATTGAGATGGGAAAACTCAAACTAAGGGGAAAAATGACCATCATTACATGGGCGATGGGGGTACCATCATTAATGATGGTACCGGTAACATCTATTCTTGATTGGCTGAAACGATTGTCTATCATCAGACCTAGGGATGGCTAGACGTCAAAACTCGGGATGGCTGGATTGCGGCGGGAAGCAACCATCATTACCTGGACTACGATGGAAACACTGTAGACTCTACAGACAGATGCGTCCTGGCTAAATTTCAACGTGAGACACAGGTAGAAATGCCAATGTTGCTAGTGGTGTCATGAACCATCTAACACACCACCGCCCAAAATCACGTTGATCATAGATCGAAGGGTTGCGTCATACGCAACCTGTAATCATGCCAGACATATGATGTTGGTAGCAGCTTCAGAGAGGCTACAGTGGCATTGATAACAGATGACCCAGATTCAATCTCAGTCTTTAGACAATGAGTAAGGGGCCACTTAGCTATAAATAGGGTTCCCCCTTCCCCCAATTTGAGGAGCAAGATTTTCGAACGTAAGCCAAACTCTACCGAATTAGAGCCAGACCCGATATTGACCTTGATCGCTACATTTCCAAGTCTTTAAAATCCATCTGACATTAATTGGCTCACCCGGTAAATCCTGAAAGATTGGAGAAAGTCGGTGCATGAACACTGATTTGTTAACCTACACCCGGTGTCAAGCGCGACTTGACGTACGCACCTCTTTCATTCTTTCCCATTTCATGTCTCGTCTATTTCTAACACGTTTTCTCAACTCCTCTCATTTTTCTCAAAAAAAACCCTGTCCAAAAATTCTGGCGAGTTTTCCAATTTTGCTGTTTCAGGAGCTGGTGATACACGCGAAGGCCGTCTCTCACTTGAATCACAACTCGACTTGACCCATTCTCTACTACACTCTTTCGACGAGTTTAAGCCCGGAAACTAGGCAGAAGCGGCAGCTTCTCTGCCGAAATTTTCGAGTGTAAACAAAATTAATGTTAAGAGACGCACACCAAAATAGTTAGTTGCCCCAAAGGGAAGACTTTTTCAATCTTCTTAAATAAAGAGCTCCATAAACTTTAATATGAAAGGAATCTTCCATGTGGGTTTGCTTATTTGTTTCATCTTAGAAAAAAAATCTAAAACTGAGATAAGAGTGGAGTGAGATGCTAGTTCACTCCATTTTCCTTATTCCCTTCCCATTTCAGATATTGAGATGTTAGCATCACAAATATATCTTGGGACAACTATTGACATATTTCAGGGTTTAATTAAAATGTTAACGACAAAAATTGCATATCAGACGTTACTTTTCATATTTTTTGGAGGACAATACGGACTTAAACCCAATACCTCTGGACTATTTTCCCTAACTCCAAGAGAACGAGGGTTGTGGTTAATCCATATGTTGGGACTTTTATACTTTTCAAGACCAAGCCATTCTATTCTATCCTCATAAGATTTCCAATGGTTCTTTACCTATGCGATCCCCAAATTCTTCACATCATATTGGAGCAATCAACCTTAGATGTTCAATTCCTCCACAATGGTAGGTTTGGTGATATCAAAATTTGTGTTTTCAAAAAAGGTCAGGGGTACTATGGTCTTGGGGTAAAAACAAATGGTTTCTTAAGTAGCAAGTAAGAAATCCTCCTGGTGTCTATGTAGGAGCATCAAAGATTGACATAATACTCACCCTCCCCTTTATGGTCATGGGAAAGTGTAGACGCCCCTTTTTATTTTGGTTAAGGGAATTCCTAAAAAAATGCGACCCTAAACCAAACTAGCCCAGTGATCCCAAGTGCACTGTAATTGTAGTCCCAACCCTAAGAAGTCTCCTAAAAATATCTAAAAATCCCCTATAAAACAAATTTATCAAGAGAGAATTCCAAAATGTAGGTTTTAAGCTCAAGTGAGGAAAAATGTATGAAATGTTTCACCTGGACACCAAAATAAGCATGAATATGAGATAATATCACCCAAATTGGTCAATGGCATGATTTGGGGACCCCTGCCGACAAATAGATCATCTTAGCGCATGTTCTACGACCGAGACCATAGACTCTCTGATCCTAACAATCGTGGCTTCCTAAACCCTAGAAATCCTAACCGTAGTAATTTCCGAAAGCATCAAATCCTAAAAATCAAATAATCAAACCCTAAAGCAAAAACCTAGGCCATAACTCAAGTTCAAGATAAAAACCCTAGATAACCCTAGGTCCAAAATGCCCTTTTTAAGTTCGAGATAATCTCTGGTTAAAGTAAATCTCAAAGATCAAGGAGAAGGATGTCTCACATTTTCATCTAATCCGAACCCTAACTCCATGTATTGGGCATGTGGGTCTGGCATACACCAAGCAAGTAATTTATTTCTTTTTAAAAATAAATATTTGTAATCAAATATTTCAAAATATTTTTTTGATTTATAAAATCTTTTAAAGTCCTAAGCTGACACGGGCGACGATGTGAGAGAAAGAAGCCTAGATCAATCTATTTCCCATGTATTTTATTGCAATTGAACGGGACCCATTTCTCTTCCAATTTTTTAATTGATCTAGTTTCCTGCTAATCAAGTTGGAGTAGATCAAAGTGCCATCTCGCCTCTAATTTCTGCATAAAACAAAAAGTTTCTCCAATAGATAAATGGATCAACAAAAGAGAGAGACATGGCCTCCTAGAGAGGCAGTATTCTCATGGATGTAGGGTTTTTCAATTTCCACTTCTAGAGATAGAGAGTCACTAGTTGCTTTCAAGTATCTCCTTACAACAGTTGTAGTGGTGGGAAGAGGATATCAATCAATTATATTATTCAATCAGAAGAGTGGGTTTAGAAAGGAAGATTGACAAAGGTTTTACCAATATTTTGAAAGAGATATATCTCTTCCACCAATACTGTAATCTTTCATTGAGATAGTGGATTTTTATTTGCCGAGATCATGAACAAAACCCTATTGGGTGAACCGCACAAATGTTGAGTTGTTATGATGTGATTTTGTTTTTGTTTATTACTCATACATGCTTTATGTGACCAACTATATATACAATCCTGAATCGGATCTCTCAGTATTTGGGGTCTAGTTTCACAAGGGAGAGGTTCCCCAAGACGCTACACATAATACTGAGAAACTCATTTCTTCAAATTTCAATACCTCACTGAGCAGACACCGAGTGCTTTCTCACGGATTTACAACCACACAAAATCTATATTATCAAGAGAAAAGTAACAGTTACACTATAATCTAGTGGTTTTGAATGTCTGCTGAGTTTTCAAATCAAAATAATGCAAGAATATCTATTTCCAAAACTAGGTACCAAGACAAGTAAATGATTGTTGCTTAGGGAAATATGTCTCTCCCTTCTTTAACATCACCTCCAAGAATATCAAAGGCACATTGCTGTGCTTGACAAGATGTAACCTGTGCAATAAATTCGGATTCCTAATATAAGTAAACAAGAATCGAGTGTTCCATGTGCATCACAGCTCAATGAAATCAATTATCACTTGGTTAAAGGCTATTCAGGTACAACATATGCAGTCTTCAGAGCAAATAAGGGACATTTAAACTATAGTTCAGGCAAGTGTTTGATATTTGGAAGTTGCCATCTTAAATGGGCTCAGGTGCAAGGGGAGTAATGATCACAGGTTTATTGATACAAGGTCTCTTTTTTCTTTTTCTTGTTGGTAATTTAATCATTTATCTATAGAGGGAAAAT